CCCGGACTACAGATCCCAGGATTCCAGAGCGACTACAGTTGAAGTGGGGTAATACCACTATAATTGTGTAGAGTGGTCGGGCCTCATGAAATCTGTTCCTCCCGCAACGAGAAGAACTGCTCCGCCTGACCCTTTTTTATATTTTTCTAATGGGCGTTAATCACTCCGCCCCATTTCTTTCGCACGAAAGGGAAGACGCCGTTACTCATTAGTTAGTAAGCCGTCCACATTGACACACTTGTAGAATCATCCGCTTGAGAGTGTTTTTTAAAAAGGGGGATTTGAAGAGCTCAGATCTAATTAAGCCTTCGTTAACAGTGCAGATTACGCTGCCGTGACTTCCTCCAAGGAGAGGCAGGCGAGGAAGAAGAAGTGACCGAAACCTTTTCTTTCCTCCTAATGCAGACTGAACCTTTACTGCAAGAACAAGGGCTGGCAGCGTATTTATGACAACCGGAGGGACGATTATCTCCTGAAATGGTCCGAGATCAAGTTCAGAGACACCTATTATGCCTTCAAAGAAGGTAAAGGAGGTCCCACTTAGGGTAGACACTTTCGGGGTTTTGATGGAGTACTTCCTCATTCTTCTGCACGTTGCTGGAAGGTTTTATGGCGTTGTAAATAAGTTAAATTAGCCTCCACACATAAAGCGGTACCTAAATTTCCTACTTGACAAGATGCAGCTGTCTTTCGGGCTTTTGATGGAGTACTTCCTCATTCTTCTGCACACTACTGGAAGGTTTTATGGCGTCGTAAATAAGTTAAATTAGCCTCCCCCCATACAGCGGTACCTAAATTTCCTACTTGACAGATACAACTGACTTTTGGGCTTTTGATGGAGTACTTCCTCATTCTTTGCACACTGCTGGAAGGTTTTATGGTGTTGTAAATTAGTTAAATTAGTCTCACCACATAAAACGGTACCTAAATTTCCTACTTAACAGATGCAACTGTCTTTCGGGCTTTTGATGGAGTACTTCCTCATTTTTCTGCACACTGCCGGAAGGTTTTGTGGCATCGTAAATTAGTTAAATTATCCTCCCTGCATAAAGCAGTTCCTACTTGACAGATACTACTGTTTTTCAGACTTTTGATGGAGTACTTCCTCATTCTTCTGCACACTGCTGGAAGGTTTTGTGGCATCGTAAATTAGTTAAATTAGCCTCCCTGCATAAAGCGGTATCTAACTTTCCTACTTGACAGATGCAACTATCTTTCGGGCTTTTGATGGAGTACTTCCTCATTCTTTTGCACACTGCTGGAAGGTTTTATGGCGTTGTAAATAAGTTAAATTAGCCTCCCTGCATAAAGCAGTTCCTACTTGACAGATACTACTGTTTTTCAGACTTTTGATGGAGTACTTCCTCATTCTTCTGCACACTGCTGGAAGGTTTTATGGCATTGTAAATTAGTTAAATTAGTCTCACCACATAAAGCGGTACCTAAATTTCCTACTTGACAGATGCAACTGTCTTTCGGGCTTTTGATGGAGTACTTCCTCATTTTTCTGCACACTGCTGGAAGGTTTTATGGTGTCGTAAATTAGTTAAATTAGCTTCCCCGCATAAAGCGACACCTAAATTTCCTACTTGACAGATGCAACTGTCTTTCGAGCTTTTGATGGAGTACTTCCTCATTCTTCTACACGCTGCTGGAAGGTTTTGTGGCATCATAAATTAGTTAAATTAGCCTCCCTGAATAAAGCGGTGCCTAAATTTCCTACTTAACAGTTGCAAATGACTTTCGGGCTGCATAGGTTGACAGCAAGCTAGACTATTTCTCCTACTGAGGCTGGCTTCGAATTCATGAACTCTCGGTCAGTAGTGATTTAACGCAGCTAGCTACTAACTAGCTGCGCCACAGCCTAGTCATAAATTACTCAAAAGTCCTGGCGCCTGGAATTTGCCTCTTTCCACATTCCAGAGCCCACTTTCCCCCAACTCTGGGCAATTGATTTTTATGGCTTGTTCATATGTCCTGTCCTCCCTTTGGACCCATGGCCATGTGCTCTGTGTCACAAGGGCTGATAGTCAAATGGCATGAGATAGAGATCATGACATTGTCCCACCTCTTTGGAAGCCATCAAATGTAGATGGCGGATGAGGTCCGAGCCAACCTGCTTTCCTTGGATATTTGAGCCTCAATTGGCTGGGGAATTGTAGTCCAGAATTTACCGGGAACATCCATCAGTTCTTCCTGCCTCCTTACAGTTTGATGCTTCCCTTCTTCCCAGGAGAACAGCTGCTCTACCAGATCCCGAACAACAAGATCCTCACCACCAAGATAGGTCTTCTCATGAACCTCCGGGAGTACGAACGGGTCATGAGGAAGGTCAACCGAGTTGCGAAGTAAGACCTTTTGCACACACGTTCCTCATTCTACCACTCTTATATTCATTTCTTAATCACTCTCTCCTTTGATATGATAATGATTGGTCTTTATACTTGATTCAGTCTTTTTTTTCACATCAGGAGTGACTTGAGAAACTGCAAGTTGCTTCTGGTGTGAGAAAATTGGCCGTCTGCAAGGACATTGCCCAGGGGACATTGCCCGGATGTTTTGATGTTTTATCATCCTTGTGGGAGGCTTCTTTCATGTCCCCGAAATGAGGAGCTGGAGCTGACAGAGGGAGCTCATCCACACTCTCTCCAGATTTGAACCTGGCGGTCTTCAGTCCTGCCGATACAAGGGTTTGACCCATTGTGCCACCAGAGGCCCCACAGCCACAAATGAAAAGACAGGATTCACTAGAGAATGATGCTTGGATAAGTAGAAGGAAAAGGGAAACTAAACAAGATGAACTTGAACTCTTAACGCCACAAAGCAAATACGATATAAGAGGCATAATTGAAACCTGTTGGGAAGCAACTTGCAGCTGGAGCTGACAGAGGGAGCTCATCTGGCCGACCCTCTATGCATATTGGCCGACCGTCTACGCACGGTACCATACTTCGCACTTTAACAACACAACCGTTCAATGCTAAGGCTTCACGCCAGAATGGAACTGTAGACGAGAGTCTACTGAACAAGCCAGTACCTGCTGCATATGGTGCTTAAGTCGTATTGACCGACCATCTTCGCACGGTTCCATACTTCGCACTTTAACAACACAACCGTTCAATGCTAAGGCTTCACGCCAGAATGGAACTATAGACGAGAGTCTACTGAACAAGCCAGTACCTGCCTCATACAGTGCTTAAGTCGTATTGACTGACCATCTGCGCATGGTTCCATACTTCGCACTTTAACAACACAACCGTTCAATGCTAAGGCTTCGGAATATGGTGCTTAAGACACATTGACCAACTGTCTGCGCATGGTTCCATACTTCGCACTTTAACAATACAACCGTTCAATGTGTCTTAAGCACCACACCAGAATGGAACTGTAGACGAGAGTCTACTGAACAAGCCAGTACCTGCTGCATACAGTGTTTAAGTCGTATTGATCGACCGTCTGCGCACTGTGCTATACTTCGCACTTTAACAACACAACCATTCAATGCTAAGGCTTCCTACCAAAATGGAACTGTAGAGGAGAGTCTACTGAACAAGCCAGTACCTGCCGCATACCAGCACTGCCACCTGTTGAGGAGTTACGGTGATGGAGGCATTACTTTTCATTCAACCCTTGTAGTAATGAAATTTCCATCAGGCTCACTTTAAAAACATTTTAGAAACAAAGTGCCAGCGCCCCCCAGTCTTCTAAGTACTTTCGAACCCCTTTTTCAATCGATTGCACATGCCTAGAGCAATTTGGAGCAATCCAGAAGGCAGAAAGGACTTCCAGTGTTCAGAGCATCCTCTTCTTTTCTGAATGCTCTTCCAAAGCTTGAATCGCTTCCTTCATCTTCCTCCGCTTGGTTGTTTGAAACGGAATAAGTGATAGGGCCAAGCCGAAATGCCAACCTCTAAGGGGGAAAAAATATATTTCCAGGCTACAGAGTGAATTTGGGAGGCTGGCTTTGAACAAAAAAGCCAACTTCATAGGAAGTTATTGAGGTCTGCACGCAGGCCCCTCTTTTCGTGCCGAAATAATTCACCTGAGAGCGCTGCAACGAGTTAAGAAACATGACAAAAGTAAATACTGCGGTGGAGGAAATATGCAAATGGGCTCAATTAGCAGAATTGATGCAAGCTGAGATATCCTCCCAGCTTGCCAGTTACTGCATTCAGAGAGATAGATACCGCTCGCTTGATGAAGCCGGGAAGAGGGGAGAAAGGACAGTTGTAAGAACGTTGGCTTTAGCGAATTGATCTAATCTGATTGCTCGAACGTTCAACAGCAGCTCGTTAAATTTCCTTTTTTGCAAGAGCAAAAGAGGTTGTGACGTTCCCCGCAAAATGGGTCTATTGCATGGGTTAAGTTTCTGGCTAGCTGGCATTGTGACATCATCATCACAATGGGGTCCCTCCTGAGAAAAATGTATAATATCACAAAAGGACGACCAGGAAACCTGCTACAAAACAGGAGCTTTTTTGTTGAGTTACAGGGTCAGAGAAGCAGATGGCGGAAACAGAAGAACGGCCTGCCTCAGGGGAGCGTGCTTGCCCCATCCATGTTCAACATCTACACAAATGACCAGCCACTGCCAGAAGGGACAGAGAATTTCATCTATGCTGATGATCATGCCATCACCACCCAAGGAGGGAGCTTTGAGATGGTTGAGCAGAAGCTCTCCAAAGCTCTAGGTGCTCTTACTGCCTTTTACAGGGAAAACCAGCTGATCCCCAATCCATCTAAAACACAGACATGTGCTTTTCACCTTAAGAACAGACAAGCATCCCGAGCTCTGAGGATGACCTGGGAAGGAATCCCACTGGAGCATTGCAGCACACCTTGGCAAATACCTGGGAGTCACTCTGGACCGTGCTCTGACCTACAAGAAGTATTGCCTGAACATCAAACAAAAGGTGGGTGCTAGAAACAATATCATACGAAAGCTGACTGGCACAACCTGGGGATCACAACCAGACACAGTGAAGACATCTGCCCTTGCGCTGTGCTACTCTGCTGCTGAGTATGCATGCCCAGTGTGGAACACATCTCACCACGCTAAAACAGTGGATGTGGCTCTTAATGAGACATGGCGCATTATCATGGGGTGTCTGCGCCCTACACCACTGGAGAAATTACACTGCTTAGCCTGTATTGCACCACCTGACATCCGCCGGGAAGTAGCAGCCAATAGTGAAAGGACCAAGGCAGAGACATCTCCAGCTCATCCCCTGTTTGGGTATCAGCCAGCACGCCAAAGACTTAAATCTAGAAATAGTTTTCTAAGATCTACAGAGACACTCGCTGGAACACCTCAGCAAGCGAGAGTCCAAAAGTGGCAGGCTCAAACCCAGAACCTCAACCAATGGCTGATACCAAATGAGAGACTCCCCCTTGGGCACACAGAAAACTGGGCAACTTGGAAGGTGCTGAACAGACTGCGCTCTGGCACCACGAGATGCAGAGCCAACCTCAAGAAATGGGGCCACAAAGTGGAGTCCACGACATGCGAGTGTGGAGAAGAGCAAACCACTGACCACCTGCTGCAATGCAACCTGAGCCCTGCCACATACACAATGGAGGACCTTTTTGTGGCAACACCAGAAGCACTCCAAGGGGCCAGATACTGGTCAAAGGACATTTAATCAACTACCAAGCTTGCAAACTTTGTGTTTTGTCTGTCTGTTTTGTTCTGTTAGAAATGTAATAGAATGGTCTGGTTGCCCCTGACATGATAAATAAATATTATGAAGGACGGTGTCAATCAAGAATCCATCAGAGAAGGCTTGGATGTAACAGAATATACTCTGTGCAAAAACAAACAAACAACCATTTGTGAATTTTACACATATTTATTCATTTGCAGTACAGTGTTCCCTCACTTATTGCGGGTGTTACGTTCTAGGACCACCCGCGAGAAGTGAAAATCCGCAATGTAGGGAAGCTCCTCCACTCCTCTCTTCCTCTCCCCTCTCCCTCTCATTCACTCATTGCTGGCTGATGAGGAAGTGGTGGCAATGGCGGCAGGATGAGCAGGAGGCCGAGCGCGGACTTCCATAACAATCGGACATAGGAAGGGCAACTCTGGTTGACTCTGGGTCAACTCGCTGGCTCATTTGGCTCAATGATACCCACCTCTGGCTCACAAGGTTTCAAGAAGACTGTCAGAAATATTAAAAGGGTTAAATGGATGCAAGGACTCAGCAAAGGTTGTGGTTCTATGTAACCAGGTGTGCCTGAAGCTGAATAGCCCTCAGTCTGAGGTAAACCTCCATGTAAGAAAGGTCTGTGGTAAACCTCAGTGGGAGAAAATGTATCTACACTCTGGCTCGCAGGGATTCATTAAGACTGTCAGAAATGTTAAAAGAGTTAAATTGATGCAAGGACTCAGCAAAAGCTGCGGTTCTATATAAGCAGGTGTGCCTGTAGTTTAGTAGCCCTCAGTCTGAGGTAAACCTCGGTGGGAGAAAGGTCTGAGGTAAACCTCAGTGGGAGAAAGTGTATCTACACTCTGGCTCACAGGGATTCAGAAATATTAAAAGGGTGAAATGGATGCAAGGACTCAGCAAAAACTGCAGTTCTATATAAGCAGGTGTACCTGTAGCTTAGTAGCCCTCAGTCTGAGGTAAACCTCGGTGGGAGAAAGTGTATCTACACTCTGGCTCACAGGATTTCAAGAAGGGTGTCAGAAATATTAAAAGGGTTAAATGGATGCAAAAGTTGCAGTTCTATATAAGTAGGTGTGCCTGTAGCTTACTAGCTGTCAGTCTGAGGTAAACCTCAGTGGGAGAAAGTGTATGTACACTGGCTCACAGGATTTCAAGAAGGGTGTCAGAAATAGTAAAAGGGTTAAATGGATGCAAAAGTTGCAGTTCTATATAAGTAGGTGTGCCTGTAGCTTACTAGCCATCAGTCTGAGGTAAACCACAGTGGGAGAAAGTATATCTACACTCTGGCTCACAGAATTTCAAGAAGGGTGTCAGAAATATTAAAAATTAACTAGGTATTTTTAATTACAAAAATGTGCGCCAATCACTGAAAGGATTAAATGGATGCAAGGACTCAGCAAAAGCTGTGGTTCTGTATAAGCAGGTGTGCCAGTAGCTTAGTAGCCATCAGTCTGAGGTAAACCTCAGTGGGAGAAAGTTTATTATACTCTGGCTCTCAAGGTTTCAAGAAGACTGTCAGAAATATTAAAAGGGTTAAATGGATGCAAAAGTTGCAGTTCTATATAAGTAGGTGTGCCTGTAGTAGCCGCCAGTCTCAGGTAAACCTCAGTGGGAGAAAGGTCTGAGGTAAACCTCAGTGGGAGAAAGTGTATCTACACTCTGGCTCGCAGGGTTTCAAGACGACTGTCAGGAATATTAAAAGGGTTAAATAGATGCAAAAGCTGCAGTTCTATATAAGCAGGTGTGCCTGTAGCTTACTAGCTGTCAGTCTGAGGTAAATCTCAGTGGGAGAAAGGTCTGAGATAAACCTCAGTGGGAGAAAGTGTATCTACACTCTGGCTCGTAGGGTTTCAAGAACACTGTCAGAAATATTAAAAGGGTTAAAGGGATGCAAAAGTTGCAGTTCTATATAAGCAGGTGTGCCTGTAGCTTACTAGCTGTCAGTCTGAGGTAAACCTCAGTGGGAGAAAGGTCTGAGGTAAACCTCAGTGGGAGAGTGTATCTACACTCTGGCTTGCAGGGTTTAAAGAAGACTGTCAGGAATATTAAAAGGGTTAAATGGATGCAAAAGCTGCAGTTCTATATAAGCAGGTGTGCCTGTAGCTTAGTAGCCCTCAGTCTGAGATAAACCTCGTTGGGAGAAAGGTCAATGGGAGAAAGTGTATCTATACTCTGGCTCGCAGAGTTTCAAGAAGACTGTCAGAAATATTGAAAGGGTTAAATGGATGCAAAAGTTGCAGTTCTATATAAGCAGGTTTACCTCAGCCGTCAGTCTGAGGTAAACCTCAGTGGGAGAAAGATCTGAGATAAACCTCAGTGGGAGAAAGTGTATCTACACTCTGGCTTGCAGGATTTCAAGAAAGGTGTCAGAAATATTAAAAATTAACTAGGTATTTTTAATTATAAAAACATGAGTCAAGCACTGAAAGGGTTAAATGGATGCAAGGACTCAGTGAAAGCTGTAATTCTGCATATAAGCAGGTGTGCCTGTAGTTTACTAGCCCACCCTTCAGGCTTCAGCCCAGCCTGGCAGTGGCGTCAACGGCGCCCAAGGGACCTCTGAGGAATTGTATTAGTAGAGAATTATGTCCCTCCCTTTATGTGATGTTGCGTATCTTTAGATGAGGATTGTGAAGAAATGCTCTCAGTATTGTCCTGGGTTTTTGCAGACTGCTGAGAATGGAAGACTTTTTCCCTGAGACTTTCCGTTTGGACACAAAAGATGAGAGAGAACTCTTCTTTGAAACATACAAAGGTGAAATGTCCCCTCCCAAATTATTATTATTATTATTATTATGGTTTGGGTACCCCGCGTTGCCCAGGTTATTTGAAAAAAGTCATGGGGGTTCTGTGTGCCAAGTTTGGTCCATCACCAGTGGAGGTCACAGTTTCTCTGGTTGTGGGTGAACTACAACTCCCAGAAAGGAAGGTCAGTGCCCCCCACCTCCCAAACCTCTCCAGTAATCAAATATCATCATATCAGATATGTGTGCCAAGTTTGGTCCAAATCCATCGGGGTTTGGGTTCACAGTACTCTCTGGATGTAAGTGAACTACAACTCCCCCAAATCAAGGTGAATTTTCCCCAAAGATCTCCAACATTATTTGCTGGTCATGAGGGATCTGTGTGCCAAGTTTGGTCCAATTCCATCTTTGGTGGAGTTGAGAGTGCCCATTGATGGTAGGTGAACTATAAATCCCAGTACCCACAACTCCAAAATGTCCTGGCCAATTCCCCTCAAAACCCAATAGCATTCAAATTTGGGCATATCGGGTATGCATGCTAAGTTTGGTCCAGATCCATTGTTTGGGTTCATAGTGCACTCTCGATGTAGGTGAACTACAACTCCTAGAAAGACCTCCAAAATCAGATATATATGTGAGTATAGTATAAAACATGACCACCCTGAAGGACAAATTATTAGGATCATCAATGAGTTGTTTTAATGCCCATTCCCATCCATGAAATTCCTGAAATTAGGGAAATGTCTTAAGATGGCAGGTCAAGTGGTACTTCATGGAGATTTGATTCCACTGAGGGAGCCACTGCTGGAAAGGCCCTGACTCTTGTCACTAGATTCAGATGTAGACTCCAGTTCCTGGGCGGGAAAGGCATTCTGTCAGATAATAGGGTTCCTGAGATCATATCGGGTGACATTTTCCATTCAAAGTCCTAGTACACCACTACACTGGATCTCTCTTTTCCTCATAGAACCCCATATTTGGATCTGTAAGCCAACCAGCTCGAACCAAGGCCGAGGGATCTTCCTCGTGAAGAACCAGGCGGAAGTCAATGACTTGCAAACCAGGCTCCAGAGCATCGAAGAAGATCCCGTGTACAAGAAGCTGCCCTACCGAATCCCTCCGGCGAGAATCGTGCAAAGGTAGAGGGATCTAGAAAACCCCACAATATCTGCTTTGACTTGGGTTATCTGAGTCCACACTCAGATAATGTGGGATCTTCTTTGATATTCTGGGATAAAGGGCTATGTGGAAGCACCCCCAGACTGAGGCCTCTCTCAGACTGGAACCTTCTAATACTGAGGCCACTCACACTGAGGCCTCTCTCAGACTGAGGCCTTTCTCTCACTGAGACCTCTCTAACACTGAAGCTTTCTCATACTGAGAAGGCCTCAGTCTGAGAGAGCTTTAACAGAGCTTCGTCTTACAACAAACTTAAACAGGAGCATCACATAGTAGCTTTACACACAGCTATACACACAAGGCCTTCAACCTGAGGTTTCCTTCACTAAAGCTTCTCACACCAGGCCTTGTCACACTCAGCCTTCTCATAGACTAAGGCCAACCTCACACCGTGAGGCCTTCTCACAGACTGAGACCTTTCTCCCACTGAGCTTTACCTCAGACTGACGGCTACTAAGCTACAGGCACTGCAACTTTTGCTGAGTCCTTGCATCCTTTTAATATTTCTGTCAGTCTTCTTGAAATCCTGCGAGCCAGAGTGTAGATACACTTTCTCCCACTGAGGTTTACCTCAGACTGACAGCTAGTAAGCTACAGGCACACCTGCTTATATAGAACTGCAGCTTTTGCTGAGTCCTTGCATCCTTTTAATATTTCTGACAGTCTTTTTGAAACCCTGCGAGCCAGAGTGTAGATACACTTTCTCCCATTGAGGTTTACCTCAGATTGATGGCTACTAAGCACACCTGCTTATATAGAACGGCAACTTTGCTTTTGCATCCATTTAACCCTTTTAATATTCCTGACAGTCTTCTTTAAACCCTGCAAGCCAGAGTGTAGATACACTCTCCCACTGAGGTTTACCTCAGACCTTTCTCCCACTGAGGTTTACCTCAGACTGACGGCTACTAAGCTACAGGTACACCTGCTTATATGGAACTGCAGCTTTTGCTGAGTCCTTGCATTCATTTAACCTTTTTAATATTTCTTACAGTCTTCTTGAAACCCTACGAGCCAGAGTGTAGATACACTTTCTCCCACTGAGCTTTACCTCAAACTGATGGCTACTAAGCTACTGGCACACTGGCTTATATAGAACTGCAAGTTTTGCTGAGTCCTTGCATTCATTTAACCCTTTAAATATTTCTGACAGTCTTCTTGAAACCCTTTGAGCCAGAGTGTAGACACACTTTCTCTCACTTCAGTTTACCTCAGACCTTTCTCCCACTGAGGTTTACCTCAGACCGACGGCTACTAAGCTACAGGTACACCTGCTTATATTGAACTGCAGCTTTTGCTGAGTCCTTGCATCCATTTAAGCCTTTTAATATTTCTGACAGTCTTCTTGAAACCCTGCGAGCCATACACTTTCTCCCATTGAGGTTTACCTCAGAGCTTTCTTCCACTGAGCTTTACCTCAGACTGACGGCTACTAAGCTACAGGCACTGCAACTTTTGCTGAGTCCTTGCATCCTTTTAATATTTCTGTCAGTCTTCTTGAAATCCTGCGAGCCAGAGTGTAGATACACTTTCTCCCACTGAGGTTTACCTCAGACTGACAGCTAGTAAGCTACAGGCACACCTGCTTATATAGAACTGCAGCTTTTGCTGAGTCCTTGCATCCTTTTAATATTTCTGACAGTCTTTTTGAAACCCTGCGAGCCAGAGTGTAGATACACTTTCTCCCATTGAGGTTTGCCTCAGACCTTTCTCCCACTGTGGTTTACCTCAGACTGACGGCTACTAAGCTACAGGCACACCTGCTTATATAGAACTGCACCTTTTGCTGAGTTGTTGCCGCCTCTTAACCCTTTTAATATTTCTGACAGTCTTCTTGAAACCCTACGAGCCAGAGTGTAGATACATTTTCTCCCACTGAGGTTTACCTCAAAGCGACGGCTAGTAAGCTACAAGCACACCTGCTTATAAAGAACTACAGCTTTTTCTGAGTCCTTGTATCCATTTAACCCTTTTCATATTTCTGACAGTCTTCTTGAAACCGTGCGAGCTAGAGGTGGGTATCATTGAGCCAAATGGGCCAACGAGTTGACCCAGAGTCAACCAGAGTTGACGTTCTGATGTCCAATTGTTTTGGAAGTCAAGAATTCTTATTGTAGGTGTTTCTAGCTTCCTGTGATCAAAGGCTTAGTATACCTGGTATACATATATGTGTGTGTGTGTGTGTGTATGTGTGTGTGTGTTTGGCTGTTGTTTTTAATTCCATCTCATTGGCAGACAGATCATTAGCATTTTAACAGGTGGGGAGAGAGAAATGAGGGAAGGAGAGATTAGAGATTATATTTGTCTGGAAATCTAAAGGGAGCTTCAAAGAGACAGCTGCACGTCAAAGACTTTGCATTGTGTGTAAACTGAATACCCTGCGAACACTGGAGATAACCAGACAGCTGCATCGGAGGCGGAAACTCGGGCAGGAATTACTCTGCTTGGGAGATTTCATGTTTCCTAAGCTTTTTATTACTATTTATAGCCTTTTAAATGCTCGATTTCAAAAAAGTAAGGGGGGAAAAAATCGTGCATCACCTAAGGTCAGAATAATCAAACGAAATCAAAGGAGGGCTTGGCGAGCAGCAGAGAGACTGTTTCCCAGGCATCTCAATTATGCATTCGGTTTAGGATGCTCATTATCATCACAAACAATGTGGCGCTAGCTAGGGCTGCGGGAAAGCAATCGGTCCCAAATTCTCCCACATTTGCATTTTGGAAGATTTCTGTCCCCTCCCCAAAGTTGAAGCAAATCTGCAGATTTGGGCCGGTTCTTTACTAAAGCACCTTATTGTCCTATTTAGTTGTACAACAAGGTCTTTAGCTCTTCCGGGGAAAGAGGGCGAGTGCCACACCAAACTACAACTCCAAGTGTTGTCAAACTCTACCGTGTAGATACACCAGGCCTGGGCAAATTTTCTAAATTGGAGGCCACATGCTAGCACTCCCTGCTAGGAGGACTGGCTGCCCGGTGATGGAAGGAAGGAAGGGAAGGAGGAAGGAAAGAGAGAAGGAAGGAAGGATGAAAAGGAGAAAGAGAAGGATGGAAGGTGAAAGAAGGAGAAAGGGAAGGAGGGAGGAAAGAGGGAAGGAAGGAAAGACAAAAGGAAGGAAGGATGAAAGAGTGGAAGGGAAGTATTAAAGAGGGAGTGGAGGGAGGGAGGTAAGGAGGAAGGAAAGAGAGAAGGAAGGAAAAACAAAGAGAGAAGGAAGGAAAGACAGAAGGAAAGGAGGAAGAGAAAAAGGGAGAGGGGAAAGAGAGGAGGAAGGAAAGGAAAGAGAAGGAAGGAAAACAAAAGGGAAAAGGGAAGGAGGGAGGAGGGAGGAAGGAAAAAAGTGGAAGGGAAGGAAAGGAAGGATAAAGGAAAGAGAGTAGGAAGGAAAAAAAAAGGAAGGGAAGGAAGGGGGAGAAGGAAGGAAAGAAGGAAGGAAGGAAAGAAGGAAGGAAGGAAGGAAGGAAGGAAGGAAGGAAGGGAGGGAGGGAGGGAGGGAAGGAGGGAAGGAAGGATAAAGGAAAGAGAGAAGGAAGGAAAGAGAAAAGAAAAGAAAGAAAGGGAGAGAGAGAGAAAAGAGGGAAGAAAGGGCTAAAGGGATGGATGGATGGATGGATGGATGGATGGATGGATGGATGGATGGATGGGAGGGAGGGAGGGAGGATATAGGAGAGAGAAAAGAAAGGAAAGACAAAATGGAAGGAAGGAAGGAGTAAGAGGGAAAGAGGGAGGAAAATAGGGAAGGAATGAAGGAAGGACAAAAGGGTGGAAGGGAAGTATGGATAGATGGGTGGAAGGAGAAAGAGGGGGAGAGAGAGAGGAAAGAAGAAAGGAAAGAAAGATGAAAGGATGGAAGGAGGAAGGAAAGAAGAAAAGAAAGGAAGGATGGAAGGGTGGAAGGGACGTAGAAAGAGGGAGCGAAGGAGGAAGGAAGGAAGGTAGGATAGGATGATGAGAAAGAGGAGAGCCTGAGAAAGAAGCCCAAGGGGCCCATACCGAGATACACTCTTAGTTTCTCTCAGTGACCATAGCAATAGTCCATAAGTAATGTGTCCAAGCTCTGGTTTCATTTTCCCATCTTCTTCCTCCAGATACATTGACAAGCCATTACTCCTCGAGGGGAAGAAGTTCGATGTCCGTTCTTATCTCCTCATCTCCTGCACCGTGCCGTACATGCTCTTCTTTGGCCATGGCTATGTCCGCCTCACATGTCTCAAATATGACCCTCGGTCAGAAGACCTCACATCTCACCTGACCAATCAGGTGAGGAAAGAGACAAGCAGATAGGGATTTACATTAACCAATGGTTGGAATGCTGTTGATGTCTTATGCTATGTGCCTGTTAAGTTCCCCTATGGTTAAGGCTGGTAGAATCAAAATCTGAGGAATGCTAGAGAGATGTTCTTTGTGGGCATCTTCTAGGTCTCCCATCACTTCTGGGTTTTCTTCCATTGGACATTGACCAGAAGTTGCACTGGAAGACCTAGAAAAGCTCTTTGTAGTCATCTTTTAGGTCCTCCATCACATGTGTGGTATGCTTACATTGGACACTGACCTGAAGTTGCACTGGATGACCTAGAAAAGTTCTTTGTAGGCATCTTCTAGATCCTTCATCATTTCTGTTGTATGCTTCCATTGGACATTGACCAGAAGTTGCACTGGATGACATAGAAAAGCTCTTTGTAGGCATCTTCTAGGTCCTCCATCACTTCTGTGGTATGCTTCCAGTGGACGTTGACCAGATGTTGTGCTGGATGACCTAGAAAAGTTCTTTGTAGGTATCTTCTAGGTCCTCCATCACTTCTGTGGTATGCTTCCATTGGGCATTGACCAGAAGTTGCACTGGATGACCTAGAAAAAGTTCTTTGTAGGCATCCTCTAAGTCCTCCATCACTTCTATGGCATGCTTACATTGGGCATTGACCTGAAGTTGCACTGGATGACCTAGAAAAGCTCTTTGTCTGCATCTTCTAGGTCCTCCATCACTTCTGTGGTATGCTTCCAGTGGACGTTGACCAGAAGTTGCGCTGGATGACCTAGAAAAGTTCTTTGTAGGCTGTTTCTAGGTCCTCCAGCATGATTCTATGCTTCCATTAGATGGTTCATTTTAATAGAGTTTGCTATTCCTCACCATTTTGCATTTCCATGGCAAATCCAGGAATATGACCACGGGGATGTACCATTCCTTGTGCAAAAGGGAGGTCACGGAGGAGGAGATCTTCCAAGCCCATATCTTCAGACTTCCTACTTTCCAAACATAAATCCCATTCTTCGCCCCTCCTATATTTCTTTTGGATGCTGAGGGCTATGTTTCTCCTCAAAAGGAACCTTTCTCAGTTGCTTGGCCCCATGGATGCACAACCAAATGTGGAAGGTTCTCGTCATTCTTCTCCAGCAGGTGTAACCACTCATTTCCCAAGCTGAGTATGCTTCTTGTGTCTTTCTCCCTACCCCTCCCCACCGTCACCAAACTATCCTCAGTATGTGCAGAAGAAGAGCCCCTTGTACCCCCATGTTAAGGAGGAGACGGTGTGGTGCATGGATCGTTTCAACACTTACGTCAACGAGAAATTCAGGGAGATCAAAGGACTGCCCAAGGACTGGGTCTTCAATGGATTTACGGTGAGTTCACATGCCTTACTCCCATTTCCTGGAATCTATATGAACATTAAACTGGGGTAAAGAAGTTCATAGGGTCAAGGGACCAATGTCTTCTGTGGGCGACATCCCACTTAGGCCCTACTGTTTCCATTGTCTCCTGTAGTGCATCTCAAAATGGCCAAAGGAAGTGTCAATGTGTCGCCATTTTGAGAAGGACTGCAGACTCTGGGGTGATTGTGGGTGGAGGGTGAGGATAGTCAATTAGTTTGATGAGGTCTTCTGCATGATTTTGGGTCAACATTTCAAACGGGATGGCTTTTCCTCAGAAAAGAATGAAGGAAATCATGCTGCAGTGCTTCCTGGCCGTCAAGTCAAAGTTGGACTGCAAGCTCGGCTACTTCGACCTCATTGGCTGTGACTTCTTGATTGACGAAGACTTCAAGGTATGGTGGCATGCAATTGGCTATATCCCCATCGCCAGGTGCAGATTGATCCCATCATCCACTGAGACCTGCCACATTCCTCAGCAGATGATGGGATCATTTTGCACAAGGCTATTGGGACATAGCCAGGAACTAGGCTTAATTGATAAAAAAAAATAGTTCAAAACTCATTTTAGATGTAGGGGGCACTGGTGGCTCGATTCTAAAGTCAATTACGATTTTCACAGAAAAAAATGTTCAAACCTTTTCGAAACTTCCGAGACTTCCGAATCCTTTCATTAATGGTTTGAAAGTGTTATTTCCTGTTTCATTAGGTAGTCTTTACTTTGAAAGTAGTTGTTTTACTCCAGAAGTAAAAGCAAGCGGAGGAAATTCCTTCCTTCTTTGATTTAAAACGGGCTTCTCTGGCTTTAAAACTGGCTTCTCTGGCTTTAACACTGGCTTCTCTGGCTTTAACACTGACTTCTCTGGATTTAAAACTGGCTTCTCTGGCTTTAAAACTGGCTTCTCTGTCTTGAGCACTGGCTTCTCTGGCTTTAACTGACTTCTCTGGCTTTCAAACTGGCTTCTCTGGCTTTCAAACTGGCTTCTCTGGCTTTAACACTGGCTTCTCTGTCTTGAGCACTGGCTTCTCTGGCTTTAACTGACTTCTCTGGCTTTCAAACTGGCTTCTCTGGCTTTCAAACTGGCTTCTCTGGCTTTAACACTGGCTTCTCTGACTTTAAAACTGGCTTCTCTGGCTTTAAAACTGGCTTCTCTGGCTTTAAAACTGGCTTCTCTGGCTTTAACACTGGCTTCTCTGACTTTAAAACTGGCTTCTCTGGCTTTAACACTGGCTTCTCTGGCTTTAAAACTGGCTTCTCTGGCTTTAAAACTGGCTTCTCTGGCTTTAACACTGAATTCTCTGGCTTTAAAACTGGCTTCTTTGGCTTTAACACTGAATTCTCTGGATTTAAAACTGGCTTCTCTGGCTTTAAAACTGGCTTCTCTGTCTTGAGCACTGGCTTCTCTGGCTTTAACTGACTTCTCTGGCTTTCAAACTGGCTTCTCTGGCTTTCAAACTGGCTTCTCTGGCTTTAACACTGGCTTCTCTGACTTTAAAACTGGCTTCTCTGGCTTTAAAACTGGCTTCTCTGGATTTAAAACTAGCTTCTCTGGCTTTAAAACTGGTTTCTCTGGCTTTAAAACTGGCTTCTCTGGCTTTAACACTGGCTTCTCTGACTTTAAAACTGGCTTCTCTGGCTTTAACACTGGCTTCTCTGGCTTTAAAACTGGCTTCTCTGGCTTTAAAACTGGCTTCTCTGGCTTTAACACTGAATTCTCTGGCTTTAAAACTGGCTTCTTTGGCTTTAACACTGAATTCTCTGGATTTAAAACTGGCTTCTCTGGCTTTAAAACTGGCTTCTCTGTCTTGAGCTGAGGCCATGGACCAGAAACAGGGAAAAGCAAGCGGGGGAAATTCCTTCTTTGTCTGGATTTAAAACTGGCTTCTCTGGCTTTAACACTGGCTACTCTGGCTTGAGCCGTGGCCAGGAAATTCCTTCCTTTTCTGGTTTAAAACTTGCTTTTCTGGCTTTAAAACTGGCTTCTCTGGCTTTAAAACTGGCTTCTCTGGATTTAAAACCGGCTTCTCTGGCTTTAACACTGGCTGCTCTGGCTTGAGCTGAGGCCATGGACCAGAAACGAGGAAAAGCAAGCGGAGGAAATTCCTTCTTTCTCTGGTTTAAAACTGGCTTCTCTGGCTTGAACCAAGGCCAGGGACCAGAAGCGGGGAAACACTGAATCATTTCTGACTCACTCCATGAGTCGTAACAAAAATGGCGGAAAAAGCAAAGGGACTTCCGGTTTTCTTAAAACTTGAACATCACTTTGAAAAGGCAATTTTTCCGAATTTATTCCGAATTACGAAGATTCCGATGGTACCTAACCATGCCTACCAGGAACCTCTAATTAATTCCCACTACCAAATGGCTATAGCTGCAGAACAGACCTGAGTTATGCCTTCCTTGACGACAACAACAGAGAGATACAAAGATGTAAAGTAGATCACAAATAATCTCTGGCCACTCTTTCCTCATAGCAACCTTTCCCTAAGTGGGTGCCCTCTGAATGTCCAGTACTACAACTCCCATCATTCCTATCAATGCTCAGAGTGGCATTTCCACCCATCTGGAGTGCTGCTGCCTACCACTCTTTCTTTTCTTTGTTTACGCTTTCCTTCCATCATGATCATTACAGAATGAAAGCATTTTTCATTTCCGAAAGTTAAGGCTTCAGCACCCCCTGGTGACAGACATATTTCACTGAGTTTTGTGCCCAAAAAAGTCTGAATATGGAACGAGAATTTGCATTGAATGGGAATTTCGTCATGCTCTCCATTGAAAGAATGTAAGGATTCAATGGCGCTGGGTTGAGCAAGTCTGGTCTTACCATGTTAACAGTGCAACAATAGACTTACATTCGTGGTTCTAGACCAAGTATGGGCAAACCCAGGCCCGTGAAATGTGAAACCTTCAATTTCTGTGCCAATGACAGATCAAGACAAATCTAAAGAAATGAATTACCTTTTTTGAAAATTAACAGGTATGGCTACTGGAGATGAATTCCAATCCTGCTTTGCACACGAATTGCAATGCTTTGAAGAGTATCATTCCATTGGTGGTGAACGAAACTCTGGGTGAGTAGAAAGAGAGGGCCTTGTGGGGTTCTTGGTGGGAGATAAAAGGGAGGTAAGGAAGGAAGGATGAAAGGGTGGAAGGGAATGGAGGGGGAAGAAAAAGAAGGGGAGGAAGGAGAAAGAGGGAAGTAAGGAAGGGAGGAGGGGAAGGAGGAAGGAAAGAGAAGAAAGGAAGGAAGGATGAAAGGGTGGAAGGGAATGGAGGGGGGAGAAAGAAGGAGGGGAGGGAGGAAAGAAAGAAAGAAGAAAGGAAGGAAAGAAGGGAAGGCAAAAAGAGGGAAGTAAGGAAGGGAGGAGGGGAAGGAGGAAGTAAAGATGAAGAAAGGAAGGAAGGATGAAAGGGTGGAAGGGAATGGAGGGGGGAGAAAGAAGGAGAGGAGGGAGGGAGGGAGGGAGGGAGGGAGGGAAGAAGGAAGCATGGAAGGATGAAAGGCTGTAAGGGAATGGAGGGGGAGAAAGAAGGGGGGAGGAAAGTGAGAAGGAAGGAAGGATAAAAGGGAAGGAAGGGGAAAGAGGGAAGTCAGGAGGGGAAAGAGGAAGGAAAGACGAAGAAAGGAAGGAAGTATGAAAGGGTGGAAGGGAATGGAGGCTGGAGAAAGAAGGAGAGGAGGGAGGAAAGAAAGAAGGAAGGATAGAAGGGAAGGAAGGAGAAAGAGGGAAGTAAGGAAAGGAAGAAGGAAAGAGGAAGGAAGAGGAAGGAAGGAAGGAAGGACAAAAGAGTGGAAGGGAAGGAGGAAGAGAAAGAAGGAGAGGAGGGAGGAAAGAGAGAAGGAAGGAAGGATAAAAGGGAAGGAAGGAGAAAGAGGGATGTAAGGAAGGGGGAAGGGAAGGAGGAAGGAAAGATGAAGAAAGGAAGGAAGTATGAAAGGGTGGAAGGGAATGGAGGGGGAGAAAGAAGGAGAGGAGGGAGGAAAGAAGGAAGGAAGGAAGGAGAAGGAGAGAAGGAGAAAGAGGGAAGAGAAGGAGGAAGGACAAAAGAGTGGAAGGGAATGGAGGGGAGAGAAAGAAGGGGGAGAAATAGAGAAGGAAGGAAGGATAAAAGGGAAGGGGAAAGAGGGAGGTAAGGAAAGGAGGAAGGGAAGGAGGAGGGAAAGACAAAGAAATGAAGGAAGGATGAAAGGGTGGAAAGGAATAGAGGGGGAGAGAAAAGGAGGGAAGGGAGGAAAGAGAGGAGGATAAAAGGGAAGGAAGGGGAAAGAGGGAAGTAAGGAAAGGAGGAAGGGAAGGAGGAGGGAAAGACGAAGAAATGAAGGAAGGATGAAAGGGTGGAAAGGAATGGAGGGGGAGAGAAGGGGGAGGGAGAAAGAGAGAGGAAGGAGGAGAAAGGAGGAAGGAAAGAAGGGAGAGAAAGGAGGAAGGAAGGAGGAGGAAAGAAGAAAGAGGAAGGAAGGGGGAAGGAGGGGGAGAGAAAGGAGGGGATGGAGGAAAGAGAAGGAAGGAAGGAGAAAAGGGAAGGAAGGAGAAGGAGGGGAGTAAGGAAGGGAAGGAGGAAGGAAAGACAAAGAAAGGGTAGAAGGGAAGTAAAAAAAGAGAGAGGGAAGGAGGAAGGATAAGATGGTGTGAGAGAGGAGGGCCTAAGAAAAGAGCCCAAGGGGCCACATCCAGCCCGCGGGCCTCGGTTTGCCGATACCTGCTTTAAAACCTATGAGGAATGGCTCAGGGAGCTGTGTATGTTTCGCCTGAAAAAGAGAAGGCTAAGAGGGGACGTGATAGTTGTGTTTGTGTCTCATGTTGCCGTGACATTCTGGCTGTGTTTTCCAGACCTGGTGATTGAGATCTTCACTGATAGTTGTGTTTGTGTCTCATGTTGCCCTGATATTCTGGCTGTGTTTTCCAGACCTGGTGATTGAGATCTTCACCAAGATCCAGAAGGGCGAGAATATCCTCCCGCTGGATTCGCTCTATCACTTTTCTCTCCTCTACAACGGGGTGGCCTCAGACAGCGGGCTCTCCCAGACCAACCGGAGCAGGACTTCCCTCCGTTCGCTCCAGGGTCATCGGTCTCACCCTGAGGTCGGCAGTACCGCCAACACCGCCAGTGCCGGCAACGCCGCCAACACCTCCAGTGGCAGTACCATCAACACCGACTATGCCGTCAACAGCAGTAGCCACTCATTGGACAAGCCGTCGTCCAAAACTCTGGAGAAGGCACTCAAAGGAGAGGATGCGAAGAGTGTGACGGTCATGCCTCTGGAAGGGCTGTCTCTCCCTCCCAGCAAAGGGATCTCTCGGGACCCCCTCCCCATGCCCCAGATCCAGATCTCCATCATCCCCAACCTCTCCTGCTGCCCCTCGGTGAAGGCCATCCTCCGGGGCAACCAGGTCTGCAACAGCGGGAGCCAGTATATCATCAGGCATGTGCCGGAAACGCTGGAGGCTGACGGGAGTGATGACCAAGGCAAAGCCAACCCTCTCGCCGTCGCCCGGGGCCTCTCCAAGGACAAGTCTTACGCCGCTTGGTTCCAGCAGACCTTCGGGACCAAGTTGGTGCTGGGCCCCAGCAGCAATGGGGCCAGGGGCCCGCTGACCAGCTCCCAGATGCTTTCGCTCCACCTCCAGTCCGACCTCCCGCCCAGCCTCCCCAACTTCCAGGAATTCCCCAAGCCCTACTGGCATCTCACGACCCATGCCAAGACGCCGCCGGACAGCCCCAAGACCGTTGCGAAGGCCCCCGGCCGCAGTGGAGACGATTCGCTCTCTGAAGAGAAAAAGACCTCCCACCGTGGCTCATGAGCCAAGATCATTGTGTATTTGAAGAGCCCTTGTTCTTTTTCCTATAAAGGACAACAAGAAAAAAAATCATAGCTCCTAACCTGTGATGTGTTTGAGCCTTTTTTTCTCCTCATAGCATATGAATTATTTCCTTCTTCATAATACTACAGGTTGAGCCCCACTTGTACAGAATTCCCATTCCGAAATACTGTAGAGTCTCGCTTATCTAACCTTTGCTTATCCGATATTCCGTATTATCCGTCGGATAATACAGAAAAATAAAAACAAAGCTCTTCCTCTTCATCAGAGAATTGCAACAAGGCTCTCCTTCCTTCCTTCCTTCCTTCCTTCCTTCCTTCCTTCCTTCCTTCCTTCCTCTCTCTCTTCCACACTCTGCTTCCCTCCTTGCTATCTCTCTCCTCCCTGGGGCTTCGCATTCAGTTCAGGCAACGCTTCGTTGAAGTGTCCTCCACACAGATAAAAGGGGAGCCCTGCCGAGGCTGCCCACTGCCATGGCTGCTCTGCTGGCCTCGCTGTTTGGTCCTCTTGACCTCAACGCTCATCCCTCTCCCTCCCTGCAGCCCCGAGTCAGCCCCCCCCTCTCTCTCTCTCTTTCTCTCTCTCTCTCTCTCTCACCAGCAGCAGAAATGTTTGCTTTATGGAAGAGGGAGGGAAAGAAGAAAGACCTCGCTCTCTGGCGCTCTTGACCTAGGTGCCCATCCTCACCTCCCCCCCCCTCTCTGCAGCCCCTGGCCAGCTCTCTCTCTCTCTCTTTCTCTCTCTCAGTAGCAGCAGAAATGTTTGGTTTATGGAAGAGGAAGGGAAAGGTCTCTAAATCCTGCGCCGGACTCTGCTTCCTTCCTTGCGGTCTCTCTCCTCCCTGGAGCCTCACATTCAGCCCAGGCAACATTTCGTTGAAGTGGCCTCTGTGTGGATAAAAGGGGAGCCCCGCCGAGAGTGCCTGCTCCGCCAGCTTTGCTTTCTGGCACTCTTAATCTTGGCGTCCATCCTCACCTCACCCCACTCTCTGCAGCCCCAGGCCAGCTTTCTCTCTCTCTCTCTCTCTCCCTCTCTCTCTCTCTCTCTCCCTCTCTTTCTCGCCAGCAGCAGAAATGTTTGCTTTATGGAAGAGGGAGGGAAAGAAAGAAAGGTGTCACTCTCAGCACCCATCCTCACCTCACCCCCCTCCCTGCAACCCCAGAATGTCCCTCCCTCCCTTATTTATCGTATTGCTTCTGATACAATAAAAAAATTGCAGCAACCGCTCCTGTTGTGAGAGAATTGGCCGTCTTCAAGGACGTTGCCCAGGGGACGCCTGGATGATTTTTGATGTTTTATCATCCTTGTGGGAGGCTTCTCTCATGTCCCCGCTTGAGGAGCTGGAGCTAATAGAGGGAGCTCATCTGCCTCTCCCCGGATTCGAACCTGCGACCTGTCGGTCTTCAGTCCTACCGGCACAGTGCTTCAACCCACTGCGCCACCGGGGGCTCCTGATACAATAAATAAAATATCAGGAATGAGATCCGGAATGCAAATTCATTCCCAAAACCTGGACAGGCTCCACCCATAATCTTCTGTCAGACTTCACCCACAACTTTTCCAACATATCAGCCATCAACTCCATCCTTGTCTTCTTCCATTAGTTCCCCCTATTTGCTTCGTAAATCCTGCTCCGGACTCCTCTTCCTTCCTTGCTGTCTCTCTCCTCCCTGGGGCCTCGCATTCAGTCCAGGCAACACTTCGTTGAAGTGGCCTCCGCGTGGGTAAAAGGGGAGCTCTACCAACGCTGCCTGATGCCCTGGCTGCTCCGCCAGCCTCGCTCTCTGGCGCTCTTGACCTTGGCACCCATCCTCGCCTCACCCACCCCCTCGCTGCAGCCCTGGGCCAGCTCTCTTTCTCTCTCTCTCTTTCTCGTCAGCAGCAGAAATGTTTAATTTATTAAAGAGGGAGGGAAAGAAGAAAGACCTCACTCTCCGGGGCTCTTGACCTTGGTTCCCATACTCACCTTGCCCCCTTCCCTGCAGCCACAGCTCATTTCCCCCCTCCCTCTCTCTCCCACCACCAGCACAAATGTTTGCTTTATGGAAAAGGGAGGGAAAGAAGAAAGGACTCGCTCTCTGGCGCTCTTGACCTCAGCGCCCATCGTCACCTCACCCCCTCCCTGCAACCCCAGAATGTCCCTCCCTTATTTATCGTATCACTTCTGATACGATAAATAAAATATCAGGAATGAGATCCGGAATGCAAATTCATTTCCAAGACCTGGGCAGGCTCCACCCATAATCTTCTGTCAGACTTCACCCACAACCTTTCAACCATATTAGCCATCCACTCCATCCTCGTCTTCTTCCATTAGTTCCCCCTATTTGCTTCCTAAATCCTGTTCTGGACTCCTCTTCCTTCCTTGCTGTCTCTCTCCTCCCTGGGGCCTCGCATTCAGCCCAGGCAACACTTCGTTGAAGTGAACTCCGCGTGGGTAAAAGGGGAGCTCTACCAACGCTGCCTGATGCCCTGGCTGCTCCGCCAGCTTTTCTTTCAGCCATCAACCCCATGCTAAATCAGAAGTGATAACAATAATAATACTTTATTTTTTTTCCTGCCCTATCTCAGGGCGGATCACAGTACACATACATGGCCAACATTCAATGCCGTTTTGGACACACAGTTCAGAGACAGACAGAACAGGAAGGAGGTATGTTGCGTCGATATCTGACTTTTTGGCGCCTTGGAGGTTGTGCTCGAATCCAACCACAGGGGGGTGCTGTCTCTCCATCCTCTATGACGAAGAGCCATCAGGACTTCCTCCTTCCTTTTGGTTGCCGGGCATTTTCCGATCTCTTTCATTATGGTGTCGTAAAATACTCATCCGTTTGTTTTAACAGTACCTAATCTCTTTTCGAACTGCTCAAGTAAACAGTGAGCTGGGCTGACACGCCGATCCAGGGAGCTCACGCCGATCCAGGGCTTCAAACTGGTAACCTTTCAGTTGGTAGATCTTATCATTGCTGGCGATTTACCAGCGGTGCTAAAGTCCTATCTATAACCGTGCCTCCCCCATTTCCATTCTTTCCAATGATCCCAAAAAGTAAGGATTTGGATGTAAACAAAGGTTTACTCTCGTTCACCTCTGGGCACAAGCGAGAGGCACCCAGAGATGAGATTAAGGAATACATTTTCCAAGGTGAGGTCTACTATGCCACCATCTTGCCACCATCTTCTTCCTCTGGAAACGGGTAACTTTGGGCATCGTCTTCCAGGAGGTGGGATTCGGAAGGATTTGGCTGCTCGGGAGATTCAGTTTCTGTAGGAAGGAAGGCAGAAACAGTAACATATAATAGTATATACATATACCTGGCCTTGTAAAGGTATACATTTTCTGAATATAGGGTTCTGCAAAGAACTGAATTATTGGAGGACTCCTTTCTCCCTTCTCCAGCTCGCTGCTGTCCCAGCCTGGCACTCATAACACCTCCATTGTAATGTAATAACCCTCCTGGGCTTTCTCCCTGTTGATGTTCTAGTCCTAGTTTGCTCTAGAAGCATCATTGGTGGGGTTCAGTGTGCTTGCTGGATGTAGGGTAAACTACAACTCCCACTATGGTGAGTCATTCCCCTCAAACCCTTCCAGTAGGTTGAGTTAGTCATGGGTGTTCTGTGTGCCAAGTTTGGCCCAGGTCCATCATTGGTGGAGGTCACCATTTCTCTGGTCTAGATCTATATAACTCCCAGAAAGGAAGGTCAGTCCCGTCCCCCGTCCCCCCAAAACCCTCCAATAATCAAATTTCGGCCTATCAGGTATGTGTGCTGAGTTTGGTCCAGATCCATCGGTGTTTGGGTTCACAGTGCTCTCTGGATGTAGGTGAACTACAACTCCCCCAGATCAAGGTGATTTCCCCCCAAAGACCTCCAATATTTTTTACTGGTCATGAGGGCTCTGTATGCCAAGTTTGGTCCAATTCCAATTGGAGTTCAGATTAATTGCAGGTGAACTATAAATCCCAGTACCTACAACTCCAAAATGCCTAAGCCATTTCCCCTCAAAACCCACTAGTATTCAAATTTGGGCATATTGGGTATCCATGCCAAGTTTGGTCCAGATCCATAATTGTTTGGATTCATAGCGCACTCTGGATGTAGGTGAACTACAACTCCCACAAATCCCTCCAAAGACCTCCAGTGTGTTTTGTTAGTCATGGGGGTTCTGTTAGTGCCAAGTTAGTTCCAAGTTTGTGGAATTCAGAGTGCAGTTCTTAGACAGCAGGTGAACTATACATCCCAGGACCTACAACTCCTCTATATTATGTTGACCTCTCTGTTGCTGATCAATTCCTCTGTTTGCTGTCTGCCATAGAAAAGAACAGGAAAGGGTTCAGGGAGAGGCTGTGGGTGGAATCATGCAAATTCCACACCAGTGGAGAGAGTCAGAAACACTGGGATGCCTGTGGTGGAGGAAACACATAAAATCTAGGATGGAATGGTCCCCATATGGAAGCAGGATGATGTTGGTGGAGGACAGTGGCAGAGCTCTTGGACATGTTCATGGCGCTCACCATAACCTGCAATGTCGTGAGTAGAAAGAAGCCTGAAGCGTTTGAGCTGGACTACAGAGCAGTACACACCATCAACCAGAGGGAACGTCGTCGTCGTCGTCTGCATACACGTGCAAACGATTAGCAGAGAAGTCATCAGAAGCAGAACAAAGATACCTGCTGCCGTCAGGACCGTGAAGATGGACACAACTGTATAATCTATGGGAATAACACACAATTGTGATGGTTTTATACAAAGTTGTTGCAATGATTGGAGCAAACATTGGCCAGCTTGATTACCATCCCAACAAAGGATGCCCCCAGGCAGGGAGTAGTCAGGCATTGAAGCTGGTTTATTTATCTGTGGAATGATGTCCAGGGTGGGAGAAAAAAACTCTTGTCTGTTTGAGGAAAGTGTAAATGTTGCCATTGGCCAGCTTAATTACATTCCCAACAAAGGATGCCCCCAGGCAAGGAGTAGTCAGGCATTGAAGCTAGTTTATATATCTGTGGAATGATGTCCAGGGTGGGAGAAAGAACTCTTGTCTGTTGGAGGCAAGTGTGAATGTTGCCCTTGGCCAACTTGATTACCATCCCAACAAAGGATGCCCCCAGGAAGGGAGTAGTCTGGCATTGAAGCTGGTTTATATATCTGTGGAATGATGTCCAGGGTGGGAGAAAGAACTCTTGTCTGTTAGAGGCAAGTGTGAATGTTGCCCTTGGCCAGCTTGATTACCATCCCAACAAAGGATGCCCCCAGGCAGGGAGTAGTCAGGCATTGAAGCTGGTTTATATATCTGTGGAATGATGTCCAGGGTGGGAGAAAGAACTCTTGTCTGTTGGAGGCAAGTGTGAATGTTGCCATTGGCCAGCTTGATTACCATCCCAACAAAGGATGCCCCCAGGCAGAGAGCAGCCAGGCATTGAAGCTGGTTTATATATCTGTGGAATGATGTCCAGGGTGGGAGAAAGAACTCTTGTCTGTTGGAGGTAAGTGTGAATGTTGACACTGGCCACCTTGAATAGCCTTTGATGGCCTAGCAGTTTCAAGGTGTGGCTTCTACTGCCTGGGGGAATCCTTTGTTGAGAGGTGATTAGCTGTCCCTGATTGTTTCTTGTCTGGAGTTCCCCTGTTTTTGAGTGTTGCTTTACTGTTATAATTTTAACAGACCTCACAACCTCTGAGGATGCCTACACAGATGCAGGCGTAACGTCAGGAGAGAATGCTTCTGGAACATGGCCATAGAGCCCAGAAAACACACGACAACCCAGCGATTCCTGCCACGAAAGCCTTCGACAATGCATTCAGACCCCTCAACCATGTTGAATGGCTTTTGGAGAGTGGAGGCACCCCAAAAGTAGAGCTCATAGTTCTTTATTTTGAGGATATAAAATTATTTAAATGCAGATAATAATAATAATAATAATTATTATTATTATTATTATTCACCCTACCAGAGCCCCTCGTTGCGCAATGGGTAAACCCTTGTGCCGGCAGGACTGCTGATTGACAGGTCAGAGGTTTGAATCTGGGGAGAGCAGGTTGAGCTCCCATCTGTCAGCTCTAGCTTCCCATGCAGGAAGCACAGCAAGCATCACCAGAGATGCAGACGAAACATTGCCAGGGTACATCTACACTGTAGAAATAATCCAGTTTAGTATCTCTCTGCCCAAAGATCCCATAGCATGGAGTCGTGGCAAAATGTCAAATCCGTCGAAACGAGATGTTGTTTATGTTTTCTTTACCAGGTTGCATCACAATGGCAGTGGGTCCCGGGCCACATTGTGCATTGTGTGTCCTGTTCCCGGCTTGAAGGGTTTGGAGTCCTTGGCTCGTGCAGCTAGGAAGGAAGGAAGGAAAGAGAGAGTGAGAGGAAGAACAGGAATCCTGGAAGAATAACACAATCAAGGAGATGCTTACTTTTGCCAAGGGATGCAGCAGCTGTTGTTGACATTTGAGAAGGTCCCGCTTGGACACGGTCGGCAGAGATACCTGAAGTCAAACTTGCCTAAGAGAAGAAAGCAAAGAAGGATCGATTCAGCAGGGCTTGAAAAGCTATCTTCACCTGGATAATATTTCATGACTTTGCTCATCTCATTTTGGGCGACTCTGGAGTCGAGGGTCCAATTCCCCACTCGGCCATGGAGAAGTCCCGAGGTCCTGGATCCCACTCTGAAACATCTCACCGTTCCTCCAAAACCCCTTTTCTTTTTTTCTTCTTTTTTCTTTTTTCTTTTTTTTTCCTTTTGTTCTTTTTTCTTGTTTTTTTATCTTTGAAAAGCTATCTTCACCTGGATAATATTTCATGACTTTGCTCATCTCATTTTGGGCGACTCTGGAGTCGAGGGTCCAATTCCCCACTCGGCCATGGAGAAGTCCCGAGGTCCTGGATCCCCACTCTGAAACATCTCACCGTTCCTCCAAAACACCAAAAACAATTCAGCATGACACCTGGGCAGCTTCTTACCCTCAAAATGACACACAAAGTCCTCTCAAAGCACATGAAAACATCAGAGCTCTCTCCATCCCATCATCACAAGTATCCCAGAAAACCACTCCTAACCCCAAAAATCTTCATTTCCCTCTACATCAATTTGGGGACCACTTGACCAGGGACCACTTTGACCAGGGACCACGTTGATCAGGGACCACTTGACCAGGGACCACTTTGAGCAGGGACCACTTGACCAAGGACCACTTGACCAGGGACCACTTTGACCAAGGACCACTTCGACCAGGGACCATTTTGACCAGGAACCACTTTACCAGGGACCACTTTGACCAGGGACCACTTTGATCAGGAACCACTTGACCACCAGGGACCACTTTGACCAGGGACCACTTTGACCAGGGACCACTTGACCAGGGACCAATTTGACCAGGGACCACATTGACCAGGGACCACTTGACCAGGGACCACTTTGACCAGGGACCACTTTGACCAGGGACCACTTGACCAGGGACCACTTGATCAGGGATCACTTTGACCAGGGACCACTTGATCAGGGACCACTTTGACCAGGGACCACTTGACGAGGGACCACTTGAACAAGGACCACTTGAGGAGGGACCACTTTGACCCGGGACCACTTGAGGAGGGACCACTTTGACCAGGGACCACTTGAACAGGGACCACTTTGGGGGCCACTTTGACCAGGGACCACTTTGACCAGGGACCACTTTGACCAAGGACCACTTGACCAGGGACCACTTTGACCAGGGACCACTTTGACCAGGGACCACTTGACCAGGGACCACTTGAACAGGGACCACTTTGACCAGGGACCACTTTGACCAGGGACCACTTGACCAGGGACCACTTTGACCAGGGACCACTTGACCAGGGACCACTTGACCAGGGACCACTTGAACAGGGACCACTTGAACAAGGACCACTTGAGGAGGGACCACTTTGACCAGGGACCACTCGACTGGGGATCACTTTGACCAGGGACTACATTGTCAAGGGACCACTTGACCAGGGACCACCCGAACAGGGACCACTTGACCAGGGACTCCAGTCTTACCTGAGCGATCGAGTTCATTGCCTTCGAGGCATGTCGGCAATTGACGGCATTCATTACACTGGTTGTCCTTGCAGCAATTCCCAGGACTGCATGTGCCGCAGAATTTTGTATGCATTTCTGTTAATGAGGCAGATGAAATGACATGAAAGATGGCTATTAAGTTCTGCTAATGCTAATGGGCACCATAATAATAATAATAATAATAATAATAATAATAATAATAATACATCGACAAAATCACGATCTGTCAACTGCAAAAGGCCACCTTACTTGGATCTGCGCACATCATTCGAAAATACATCACACAGTCCTAGACGGTTGGAAAGTGTTCGACTTGTGATTTTTCGATACGAAATCCAGCATATAGATCTCGTTTGCTGTGACATACTGTGTTTTTGTGTCAGAATAATAATAATAATAATAACAATAATAATAATAATAATAATAATAATATACTTTGGGTTGCTGTGAGTGTTCTGGGCTGTATGGCTATCTTCCAGGAGCATCCTCTCCTGACCTTTCTCCCACATCTATAGCAGGCAATATGCCCAAATGTGAACACTGGTGGAGTTTGGGAAAAATAGACCTTGACGTTTGGGAGTTGTAGTTGCTAGGATTTATAGTTCACCCACAATCAAAGAGCATTTTGAACCCCACCAACGACAAAATTGGGCCACACAGAACTCTCATGACCAACATAAAATACTGGAAAATTGGTGGGCATTGACCTTGAGTTTGGGAGTTGTAGTTCACCTACATCCAGAGAGCACTGTGGACTCAAACAATAGATCTGGACCAAACTTCACACAAATACTCAATATGCCCAAATGTGAACACTGGTGGAGTTTGGGGAAATTAAAGCTTTGTATTTGGGAGTTGTATTGCTGGGATTTATAGTTCATCTACAATCAAAGAGCATTCTGAACCCCATCAACAATAGAATTGGGTCAAACTTCCCACATAGAACCCCCATGACCAACAGAAAATACTGTGTTTTCTGATGGTTTTTGGCGACCCCTTTGACACCACCTTACGACACCCCTCAAGGGTTCAGAAATTGGGCCAAACTTCCCACACAGAACCCCTGCGGGGGTGAGAAGGGCGGACTAGAAATACCGTAAATAAATAAATAATAAACAATGGCTTTGGCGACCCCTTTGAAACCCCCTTGTGACCGATCCCCAAGGGGGTCGCGACCCCCAAGTTAAGAAAGTCTGCTTTGTAGTGATAGTTGTACATTCAAGCCACAGCCATGTATCGGCTCAGAGTGCCACTTCCTCAACAAGCAAAAAATAGTGGAAGGAGAGATCTACTGAAACTATTAGATCTCATCTGCAGAAAAATTGAAATTCTTGCAACTTACCTAAATGACTCGGAGCACGACAAACAACTCTGCTGCTGGCCCCCGGTTCCATATACAAACAGAGGGCTGTGAAGAAAAGCAACTGGGAATCCAGCCTTGGTTGTGAATTGCATTTCCATCGCTTTCTGCGCTAGGGTTGTGTTTACGTTCCTTGGCTCGTCTTTCTTTCTCTTTCTCTGTTTCTTCTTCTCTACCAGCTTCTATCCCTCCGCCTTGTGTCTCGTGGCCCCATTTCGTGGCCTGAAGGTTGGTGTGGATGGTCGCATGGCGTCATCACTTCCTCCGTGACGCTTCTGAGAAGGGATCACAAAAATAGATTCCTCCGATGGGTCGAAAGGGAAAGTACACAGAGGAAGGCGAGAGAAATGAGGAAGTCGATGCTCCGCCCAGAAAACTAGTGTTTACATCTACGTCGAGACCCCAAATCAAGATCTTAATTAATGGAATGAAGGGTCCAACGGTTTCTAAGTTCAGGTGGTCAAACCTCAGTGGTCTTCTAGTAGATCTGCTGGTCAAGTGGCTGAAGAACCATACCAAAGATCGGGGAATATCCAGGTTGAGGGCAGGAGATATGCTTGAATGGTCCATCCATCCTGTAGAAATCCCCGTACATTTCTGTAGCTCGCTTACTGCAAAATGTTTATGTTGTCTCTCTAGCCCAGACATGGGCCAACTTTCTAACTTCGGGACCACATGTTGGGCTAAAGTGGGGTGGGTGGGCCGGGAGGGAGTGGGTTCTCTCTAAGGGATCTACGCACACTTTCTCACACACTGAGGCTTACCTCACACTGAGGCCTCTCCACTGAACTCCTTTGGGATCCAGACCTTTCCTGTCTTTCCTTCACTATCTTCCACTTTCAGAGGCAGAGAGTGAAGGAAAGACAGGAAACGTTTGGGTTCAGTGTGAAAGGTCTCAGGATGTGGTCCTCAGTGTGAGGTAGGTGTGAGAAGGTGTATTGCCCACTCCTGATATAGAATCCTAGAGTTGGAAGAGACCCCCAAGGGCCATCGAGTCCAACCCCTTGCCATGTGGGGTGGGTGGGCCAGGAGGGAGTGGGTTCTCCCTAAGCCCCTCTCAGCCCTTTCCTCTCTTCCTCTGAGGCCTACCTCACACTGAGGCCTCATCCTGAGACCTCTCACACTGAACCCAAACATTTCCTGTCTTTCCTTCACTCTCTTCCTCTTTTGGAGGCAGAGAGTGAAGGAAAGACAGGAAAGGTCTGGATCCCAAAAGAGTTCAGTGTGAGAGGCCTCAGTGTGAGGTAGGCCTCAGAGTTTAGTAGGCCTCCGTGTGTGAGAAGGTGTATTGCCCACTCCTGATATAGAATCCTAAGTTGAAAGAGATCCCCAAAGGCCATCCAGTCCAACCCCTTGCCATGTGGGGTGGGTGGGCAGGGAGGGAGTGGGTTCTCCGTAAGCCCCCTCCCAGTCCTTTCCTCCCTTCCTCTGAGGCCTACCTCACACTGAGGCCCCATACGGAGACCTCTCACACTGAACCCCTTTGGTATCCAAACATTTTGTGTCTTTGTTTCACTCTCTTCCTCTTTCGGAGACAGAAAGTGAAGGAAAGAAAGGAAAGATCTGGATCCCAAAGGAGTTCAGTGTGAGAGGCCTCAGTGTGAGGTAAGCCTCAGTGTGTGAGAAGGTGTGCGTAGATTCCAAAGGGGTTGGCCATCATCAGGATGAGATGGTGGATGGGAGAGAAGACCCTGTATTGCCCACTCCTGATATAGAATCCTAGAGTTGGAAGAGACCCCCAAGGGCCATCGAGTCCAACCCCTTGCCATGTGGGGTGGGTGGGCCAGGAGGGAGTGGGTTCTCCCTAAGCCCCCTCCCAGCCCTTTCCTCCCTTCCTCTGAGGCCTACCTCACACTGAGGCCTCATCCTGAGACCTCTCACACTGAACCCAAAC